CCCTTTCCTAACCATGACTGATCCCTCACTCCCCAAAACACGTTGACTTCCTCACACTTTGGCCTTTGACACCGAACCGGGAGGAGAATGATAGGGGCCACTAACCGCGCCATTACGATGACTAGACTCACGAAAATAACGAAGGTCGTAAGAAAATCCCGAATTTCATAGAGGAATTCCAAGGTCCTATCTCATCTGCAGTCGAGAAAACTGAATGACACCTTGGCCCCTCCTGAAAAACACCTCCGACAACCGTAAAGAGCTCTTATCGATTCCTGCTCTCTCGCCAGACATTTCATACCCGCGGCCACGTCTGGACTCGTAACAGATGGTAATCATCCTGAAAAACACGTTCCTCGATCCAAGACACAATATCCAATGGCAGGATTTCCATTCCTCCCCGTCCATCACACCAGACACGCTGTCTCGCTTTCCAATGCCGTCTGCCTCCCAGTAGGGCCTCGAACAGGACAAGCGATACCAGAAATCATAACACCGAAAGGAGTATGAGAAATTCCACCTTTCCAACATACCACCTTACAGGAGACACGTCATTACAGAACTTAAGGTTATTCCACACACAACTGTCTGTCTCTCAATCTTGACCTTGTGACCGTTTCGTGGCAAACGATCCGTGCGACCTGAAGGAAATCGCAGGTAAATCTCCAATACCGCACAAAGAAGTGAACTTTTTTATTATCGACTTTCCCTACAAATCCTTCAAACGTATGAGGATTCCGTGAACTTTTGCCAAGAGATCGGACTCCTTCCAAAATCACAATATTGCAAGAAGTGCAAAAAAGAACTAGAGCTTATGCTAGACAAGAGAAGCGACGCTGACCTTTTCCCGATCGCTTTCCGGTGCTCGAATTCGCGCTGTGCAAAGAAAGGGACTCGTGCTCCATTTTGCAAGGATTTTTTTCTTTGAAGGAGCAAGAATCTTCAGTCAAAAAATTCTCGTGCTTTTATATTTCTTTGTGAACAATGTAACGGACCATATGGAATAACCGATAACCATATGGAATCAATATTTCCTTTTTTCCAGATTAAAATTTGTGAGGGTTAAGTGAAGATAATGCATTTATCCCAAGACGAAAGGGTGCAAATCATTTTTATGTGTGGATTCACGTACCGCAAGGCATGCGGACTTGAATGAAGAATTGGAGTGCTCGCATGGCCTTTTTCTTTTCCCTGCACACTATCGAACCATTTCTTGTAGACTTGTTTATTCGTGCTGATTTTAGGGGTGAAGTCGACAATGATGGGGGTTAGTAGATCGAGTTTCTTGCTGGTGTGCATCGTGCCGAAGGTCCTTTTTTGGGGGTGCTCCGGATGGGAGAGGAGTGCGTCGATATCCACTTTCCTTTTCATGCGTTTCATGATTTTCCACTTTTTTGTATTATTTTGGATTTCTTCAGGCACCACGTTATGACTCGCTGGTGTTTCCGGTCTGCAGATTTTTGGATCTTGCGTTCGGTAATGAGTTTGGATGTCAGCGTAGGTGAAGACTAGATCGATGCAACTGGAGCCATTTTGGACTAAATTATATAGGTTGGGTCCTCAGGGCGGTTGACCATTTCTAGTCCGAAGGAGTTCATAAGGTGAAGTAAGTCTCGTCCCTTGATGGTGGGTGCGCCTGGGTCCACACGGCAGTTCAAGTCACTATTCTCAAGATGGGATTTGGCTTGCCTGCGCTCAGGGCAGTTGCAATTTCTTGTCCTATGTCAGCCGATTCCCAGTTGGGTGGGAAGTAAAAAGAAAACACTTCTCCGATGGTTGTGGAGATAGCGACATGCTGGGGGTATGTTGCCATTAGTTCGGGTTCGAGTTCTGGTCTCGCTGCAATGGTGATCCCTCCATGTGGTCTGCCGCTGTTTTGCTTCATCGCATAGCTGTCGAAGGTGTAAATGCCTGGTATGGTTGATGGCTCGAGGTCGCACGCGAAAGTCTCTGTAAGGCACAGTAGGCTCGCATTCGTCCATAAGTTTGTTTCCAGACTTTGAGTGATTGTACTTTTCAGTCCCTCTACGTTCCAAGGCTGGCAAGGGTCTTGCAGTCATTCCTTTTTCCCCCACGTTTTCCTCTCCTCTTGCTTGGGATTAGTCCGAGTGTCGAGGAGGGAGAATCATTTCCATCTAAACGGGTTTCCTTTACGCAGGAAGGGAATAGGTCCTGAGAGACCCCGGGTTTTGTGTCTCAAGGTCATTCGTTCAGCTGCTCGTCAGGACCGTTGTACACAGAGCCAAAGTCGAAAGCACGCCACATTCGTGAGTTTGGCAGCACGACAACAATCACGGTGCCAAAGCACATACCGTTCGCACCACATTCGGGATTGATGAATTGCAATTTGGAAAGAGAAAGTATCAGAAGGGTAGGTAAGTGGAGGGACAATGAATGGTAAGTACAGCATAAAAACGATGACAATTACAATCATGACATTACGCGATAAAATTACTCAATAAACCAAGCATATTCATGGCGGTATCTGCAGTGAAACTAATATCATCCTGGCAGAATGTCCCGAAAAGAAACGAAATGACATTGTCCTCGACATCATACAAAGACATGTTCATCCGGAATCCACCGACGGCTGGCGGGGACTTGGACGTGTCCAGGGTTGGAAGCATTTAACAGTCGACCACACCCACAACTTCGTTGGTAGGTCTTTGGGTGTGGGCGTGAGACGTTGGATCTGCAAGTCGGTACAATAAAGTCAATTTTTTCTTTTACAGTTTCATGCCCATTGTGACAAACGATGGAGAACACATGGTGGCTGTTGAAACGTTCCCTACCAAGCACTCACTCTCGGCATAAGGATGAGAGCCTCCACCTCGGGACTTATCCTCTGGAGACAGAATTTTGGGGATCGGAAGGATTCCGGTCCCTTTATATCATTTCTCGTTCATGCGGCGGAGCTGCACCAACCATAGCCACTGTGGACACCTTAGAGTAGCAAAATAAACTTTGCCTTAGATTCGCATCGAAACGGACTTTTCACCACGCGCACACACTTCCCCACTCTTCCTTTTCTGTCGCATTCGTGTACCATCACCCTTCACAAAGCGTCTGCTTCCAAAATGCGACCGGATGCCAAAAGCATTTCCGATCGTGTCACTTTAAAATGTGTCTTTTCAACCTTAGGGTGGATTTTTGAACAGAGCACTATCCGATAATGCTGCTTTTTTTTTTCACCGGATTTACAATGCATTTTCTCTGAAGTAAAGCAGCATTATCGGATAATGCTCTGTTCAAAAATCCACCCTTAATTGTGTATTCTCAGCTGAAATGAATCCTACTATAAAGCAATTATATAGTAATCTTAAGTAAGATCAGATTCGGTCCAAGTTTGCAGTGGCCTGCTACGGTACTCTATCCTTAGTTCTGTTGCAGACGATGTTTTCGTTCGAGCGACGTGTGTGTCTCGCTTGAAGCAGCGACACGTTACGACCTACGTTTCTTTAATGCTCCCTCTTCCAAATTCGGGAATAATTCATTGAGTGGGAATTCAAGTTTTTGGAGAAGGAAGAGAAAATGGGTTAGAGCCATTATCGCCTAGATGGAGCCAGGCACAGCTAGTCAACTTTTTCCTTTTCTGTTATTCTTAATACAAAAATAGTGCTTTTTCAATCTTCAGCATGTAATAGCCAAACAAAGTTTGAGCTTTTGGCTTCGCATTTGCTCCGATTTTCAGCGTAAAATTGTTGCTTGTGGAAAGATTCGACTAAGTAAGCGGGACAATTTGAGAAATTCTGAAACTATTGCTGATTTTGAAGTAAATTCCGCCATGTCTTCCTATGAGAGAGCCTCAGTCGTCACTCTCTCCTTCTAACTGGAGTTACCATAGATAATTTATTGAATAATTCGTTTGACAAAGAGAGTTCGGCGCAAGTGAAAGATGATCCACGTTTTCATCTTGATCCTGGCACAACATTCGCAAGTTGTCGAAGGGTTCCGCCCTAAATCCCATCAACGGTGTTCGAGGATGTTGCGAGATTATTCACCGTGATATTGATTCAACATAGTTGCAACTGACCCCTCTTAAGAAATGGAGCACAATCATTTTGAAGTTTTAAACTCCAAATCATCCACGCCCGATAGGGAATGCCTACACGTTCGCAACACTGTCTGACACATTGCTGTATAAGGTATTACTTTCTAAGGCAGCGGCGATAGCATGTCTGAGTAGTGCCATAGATCGTCTCTATTAATGTCAGTATCTTGCTGTTAATGGCCCAAATGGAATATTGATACAATTACGAACGTTGACAAAAGCTAATTGCTTCCGTATTGGAATAGACAGACAAATTGAATTAACACTCCAAAGTTGGTGCACAAATGTAAAAAATTAAGGTTATCAAGGAATATAGAATCAGCAAAACGTGAACACTTCGCTTGTCGGAAACAAAGGATATTTTTTATTATTACAAAAGTGGTAACAAATATATATAAACCCATGCTATTCAGGTTTTCCCTTTATTTCCCATAAAAAATATTAATTTACTTCCATTGCAGAGGGGAATAACCGAAATTTGGGGATACCAGAAGTCTTCATTGTCCCAGCATCATTCGGTTTGAATTTCCCTATCTCCTGCTATTCTCACCTCCGTCTCAGTTTCCTGTGGAATGAGAAATTAAAGGGTTATATTAGTTTATTTTATTAATTTGCGGAGCTGCTTTCGATTTGTTTTTCTACGCAGTCTTTCAAGCATCATAAAATGCTATATTTTGAAACAAGCTAAGTAAAAAAATTTACCTGGAAATTGTAACCCGAATAAGTGGAAGGGAAATAAACTACACCTTCACCTTTTAACTAATGGCAAAGTATTGCAAGACCGAAAAAATTGTTTCTTTCCCTTAGGTAATTAATGCGATTCTAAGAAATAGGGGGGATAACGGCCGTTCTTAGCAGGATTCCTATTCTTTTGGAAAATAGAATAGGTTTTTCTATTTTGTGTATGAGAAAACAATTTTATTCAACTATAAAATAACAGTTAATGTAAGCACCATTGTTCCATTACAGGTCTCCACCTTCCAGCCAGGAAATCACCGCCGTGGTAAAACGATGAGGGTTAAGTCTCCAAGTATTGGAGCAAGTAGTATTGGAGGTGTTCTGGTTGCCGGAATCTCCCTCTGAATCACTTCTACAGGGTGAAGAAAAGTTAGTCGACCGATGAAGCGAAGTTCGGGGAGTGTGGTGACAGCGGCAGAGTTTGTGCAAGGTTATCCTTGAGATAGGTGGACAAATGTCCTCGTAGAGGAACATCATTTTACCATCACCCGGTCGAACCGTTAAAAACTCCTTACCTGTTGGAAAAGACAGAGTTGATGGTATAGGGAGGAAGGAGCTCGTACAACACGCCACCTTCACATCCCACCATACGGAATGTTCTTCCTTTCAACTCTGGCCCGTCGGGAGAAATTAGAGCAGGTGGGGGAATGATAGTTGAAGTTCGTTACAAAGCATGTTATATCCAACTTTAAATTACCAGCTTTTCCCAGGTGATGTTCGATGGTGGTTCGATTGTAGCAGAGATCAGCGGTCATGTCCGAGTCTTGCGGGAACCAGCTTCCAGAAATTGTAGTATCAACGTATCCTCCGACTTGTTTGCGAATTTAAAGTCCCGCACGTGACGTGAACGAATCTTTTTGAAATAAGACTGCCCGACCTTTGGGAAAAGGATCATTAGCCAACGTCCATCGCTGACTTTGCAGGCTATCTTCTCTCCCAGACGAAATCCGAAGGCGGGTGTAAAGGTGTTCTTCCACTGCATCGAAAGCCTAGCCCATACTTTTCGGTAAAGAATCACAACCAAACTTACACCACAAAAGGGGTGCAGGTTAGCCTATAAAGAAAGAATAAAAATTCGTAAGTGCATTTAAAACCAGTATAATTTGAACAAGAGTTGCAAATGGGAATAGGTATAGGTAATTCAACAATGGGAAATTGGTTTTTCGGGTACCCACCATTGGGCGCTTCGCAGAATCACTTGTTTCAGAATTGTCATTATTTCCCTGGCACTGTGAGCCGTTGCACCAACCTGCTGAAACCATATGTCCTTACGATTTAGATTAAGTCTCCACACACCAGACTTCAAGAAATTCTCGATCATGGGACAATGACGATTCCGAAAAAAAAAATGTTTCCGAATCATTTGATTTCTTGGTTTGGCAATGTCAATTAGCCCGCGCGGTCATCGAATTTAAGTACCCCCGATTTTTTCTTGTGGGGGCCCATGACGGAGCGAGTGTACGTCAGCAAATCCACGAAACTGAAGGTACTTAGAACCAACATCAGAGATGTAAGACGCTCGATTTCAACGGAGATTTGATCAAGTGTCGTGGACAATTTCGTAGTAAGATTGGGACTCTGCGAAGCGGCCAATGATGTGGATTAAGAATTTTATTTTTGATTTACCTAACAAATTCGAACGAAATTAATTTTTCCATTGAATTTTTTTGTTTTCATTGTTATTCCTAAAGGAACAGGAGTGATACTTGGACATCCGGTCATCCGGGTTGTATAATATTTAATTGTCCCACCCCTGAAATGTTACCAATTGGTTCCTCCGAACTTTGTTTTCGAATTTTAAAGAAATGCAATCATTGCGTTGCTGTTTTTTTTTCTTGTGCCAACTATTTAAGTCAGAACATCATAATATTTCAAGCATCAATGAAATACCTTGTATCTAGTAACGGTTACATGGCTTGAGAAAAGCTAGGTAGAGGAGTGTTCAGCCGTTCACTTTGCTGGTATCTGATGTTGTACACTTGAGAAAAATATTACAGAACCTAATTATATTAAACTTCCTTGTTTTAAAAACCTTAATGAATAAATATCCCCTTCGTCAGAAAAATTTGTTGCGATAATTTTCTTCATTGGCTAGAGAAGTGACCTTTGACCATACCGTTACTGAAAATATTTTCTGATAGGTTTTTACTACATGGTTATATTTGCAGGGTTTCTTATAATGGAGAATTAAGTATGTTAGGGGCAAAATTGAAAAACTTACTTTTGATGTTTTCTTTTGTCCCCCACAAGTTCAACCCAAGAGGAGTCCAGGAAGGAAAGAGGGTACGACCTGCTCTCACATCCTTCTCCCGCAAGTTTTTTCTGTTCGAAACTGAAATAAAGATGTGTCCAATTATGAATTTAGAAATGAATAAACCGAATGTGCTTCACGTGTACACACAGCACAATCTGATTTTAATGCACATGTCTAATATTGAAACGAAAAATTCTTACAATAGCACTCACTGGCCTAGTTAGAATCGTTTCAAGGATTCGGTATGCAGTCCTAGACGTTGAAATCCGTCCATCGGGAAAGTTTTGTACCTGGGCATTTGTTGAGAATTATATAAAATTTGAAAATTGTTTTTGCACGCATGGAAATTACGTCTTGTCTTTCATTCCAAAAAGAATCTTTAATAGTTATCAGCAATGAATTTTGTATGTAAAAAATTTTTTAAAATTTTTTTTACAACCTGTAGTAAATATACTGATTATTTCCCAGCCCTTGCATAGTCAAAAATAGGGGGGGAAAGGATTTGTGGGGGACAACCTACTCAAAGGTGGCTGATTATCTTCCATTATCTCCAGGCTAAGCTGCTTTTGGCACAGGGCTTTGTAGAAAATGGGACAAGTTTTGTATTTCAATAACTTCTATTCATAAAGGCAAATTTATTTATCATCATGTGCAGATGTTCAGTTACATAGTGCTAAAAACTACTGGAAAAGTAAAGGACTATGCACTACAGGACAGCCTCAAGGAGGATAAAGAATGGGATATATACTAAAGCACAGTGGTACTACAGATCTCCCAGGGGGGTCAAGGAGTTCGAGAACCGCTGTTCTAAACCACTCCGAGTGAAAACACCATTCACATCCCATCCATCTATTGAAATGAAATGCGTACTAGAACTATCGGCAGGAGAGTTCCCTTGGGCTACAACGCCTAATAGGATGTCAACTTGCATGTATTTAAATAAGCACGGATGTAGTGCTCCATGCCACAGTCGAAATATGCATTTAACTTTTCAACAAAGACTCCCGAAACAGACAAGATTACTGACAACTGATATTCTGAGCAAGTGAAGAAAAAATTCAAATAAGCTGCACATCTCTTAATTCATCGCAAGGGGAGAATGGGGCAGCCATGATAAGTCACACACAGATAACATTAAATGCGGCTGTACAAGAGTAGCCAAGGTGACTTTCCCTTCTATTCAATACCATCGACGCCTTCAGGCATTATAATAGAATGGTAGATTACTCAATCCATCTTGCAGATAAAGTATACATTTCGAGTGTTCTCATTTTGACTAAGAAAACGGAGTCAAAATAAGTGGCGATAGTTCCAGGTACGTATCGAAGACACTTAATATCCCCTTTGTTGAAAAGCCGTAGGAAAACCGGCGATTCCACCACCGTCAAAAGGCCCTCAGGTATATAGAAGCGGGGAGTGCAAGATGGGCGAGACATGCGCAGTGGACCCTCCGCCGCCACCCTCTCCGACCCCAGGGGCGTGTTATGGTCTAGCGAAGGTCACCAGACCGCAACGTTATTCAAGCATAGCAACCGGGTAAGGGGGACGGGAGGGGAGGTTAGCGAAAGCAACGGTGCATATCTCCGCACAAATATCACTTCCCGCCTAACCCTGGCCCTCTTCATTGAAGGATGGGTTAAGCATTTACGTCCCAGGATCATCCCAAGTCTCACTCCTAATCTTCACACACTTTCAACTGCGAGAACTTGAGTTTTTCGTGTTCGGGTTATAACGTTCATTTGGATGGCGAAATTTGTATTCGCAAAGGCTATTATGCGGAATTTCAATAAAATGTAAATTTAAAAAATGACAGTATCCAGCGAAAATGCCTTTTACGAACTGTTTACGAAATTTAAAAACAGTCAGTAGCAGGCTAAAAATGTTATCTTGACTTGATAGCGAAAATAAAACTCTCCCAGTCCTAAGAATTCAAAATTAGCAGAATTTATCACCCCAAAGTCAACTGTACGAAAAGTGATGAAATACTCACGAAACGCTGCCGATAAGAGTAATATTAAGCATTTACATGTTCCGAGGCTCCATCTTTCAACAAAATGGAGCCCCAGCTCAAATTTCACGAGATGTGAACGAGAAGCACTTCTCGCGGCTGCTTCCTTACAGGGCTGATAGGTTAGTGTTGGGCATTCCACTCGATTGTGGTCGACTTCTCTACTCAAACACGTGTGGTACTTTTCGTACATCCCTCGCCGGAAAGCGTCGCACTAAGAAGGTTAAACATTTAAAAGATGTGTGATATGAAAGATATTGTGCTACTACCTGCCACTTAGGAAGTGAAAATATATTCGAAGGGAAGAACTTAACGTGAACTAGATTAAGACTGGCCTTGTGCAGCCTCTGGCCACTCCGAAATGAGTCAAATGGGAGAAATTCTTAGCCTTTATCTCGAAATAAAAATTTGGAAGTCGAGCGAAATAAGTTCGGCAGTCGTGGAGTCTTAAAGAACGCGTCATGGCAGGATCCCCATCGTAGTAAAATTTGAGTTCCCTTTGCGTTCCACAAGGGAATTTTCAACCCACTCATCGAGTGAAAGTTACATGAAATACGCAATGTAAGTACTTTAAGCTAATAACCGAAGCGAAAGAAAGTAATTCTGCCTTATTGTGCAACGGTTCTTCATCCCGGCCCGTGGGAAGACCAGGTGAAACCAATTTTCCATCATCACATCGGTGTTTACAAGTTCCATTGAAGTGGGAAGCGAGCCTCTAGGAACAGGGAAGAGAAAGCAAGTCGAAGTCGAAAGAACCAAGACAAGGAACTCACCGAATCGTGAAGGAAGATCGTGGTCTCAGACGTAAGAGTCTGACGAGGCCAGTCCGTTCGACGGGAACGGAACGATGACGTCCGAGAGAGACGTCGCCGCCTGCAGGGCTTTCTCCTCTCTCACCTTCCGTTAGGGAAATTGACCTGCCAAGAGACGACGGAAAAAATATTCTCGAGAACAGTGGAAAAGACGACGACGAACCGCGAATCGGTCGGCAAAGTTACTACGCCATCAATTACGCCGTGCACGACGACGGAGACGTTTACGAGCGCAACGGATCGAGAATGCCCGACGCGCTCACGAAGTCTGCATGATGAACGGCGCTAAACGCAGCATCTACGAAACGGAACGGAACCAAACGTGACAGACGCGACGTTTCGCAAGAACGAGCCGAACGACACTGCCGGCAGAGTCATCGTCGGCCGAACCGGAAAGCCGGGTCCCAGCAGAGCGAAGGAAGACCGACGAGAGAAGCGAGAGGCCCGAGAGCCAGGTCGACACTGAAGCGATGAACCGAAGGTGCAAGGACGGAAGAGGGACGCGACCTCCACCCGAGGTCCTCCATTCCCGCTCGGGCTCGGCGGCGAGATCCACACGAGAAACGCAGCCCCAGGTCATGGTATTCCCAAACGGAAACACTTCCTCGGGCCATCCCTTCCCTCGAACCTTCACTTTCCCCCGACGGAAGACGGAGGCGGAGTGGCGTGCACGTCACTCATCTCTCGAGGCAGACAGACAGACAGACAGACGGACGGACTGACAGACGTTACTCCATTTCGACTTCGCGTTCGATCGCAGTCCGTCCGAGGAGAGGTTCACGTCCAGGTCGTGGACGAGTTCGTGCGTCCGCTATCACGAACGCTCTGGAAATGTGTAATTAGACGAGTACTTCGAGGCCCTTTTCGACCGTTATAGAGACTGCTATAAGAACCAGTGGAACTCCACAGACGCGTTTCCGATCCGACCCGTCTGGCAGCGGCTGCCTCGGGAATCGGTTCACCGGAGGAGTCTCGTCGGAACTTCTGCCTTTCGAGGTTCGGGTCTCTCGTTCCAGACGGTTCACTCGCACCGTCTCGGCGGCCATGCGAACGCGAGGTGCAACGACTGGACGGGGATTTGAAAACGGTGGTCTCGAGTCCGGCCAACGTCTCGATCGACCGAAACCACGACACGACTGCGACGATCGACACCGACTCGAAACGGACCGGTCTCTCTCTGCTCGGCAATCGATCAGAGAGTCGAATCGAATCGAACCGATCTGGTCGCACGATAGGCGTCTATAGGAACGAGGATCCCCATAGAGGACCGTCGATGAGATTCCAAGCGCCACAGACGTGGCGCCTGTCCTCGAAGGGCAAACGAAGCAGCCGATCGGCCTCGAAGGACAGATCCTCGAACTCCAGCTCCTTCCAGCCGATCGCCGATTCCATTTCCACGGGGAGTTTGGAGTGCAAGGCATCTGCCTCGTCTCCATTTCCGGTATTCCGCCGGTCGTGGGAAGCCATTTAATTATCTCGTTATCGTTTCTCCCTTGGCCCGAGGGGGTTCTCCATTCCCTTCCATCTCCAACATTTCATAGCTATTTTTCCCTTCAATTTTGTGGATCGAAGGGGAAAACTCCCTCCGACTTTTCCCTTTGGCACGTGTAATTAAATACGCCCAGTGAGATTTACGAGAATTCCAGGGGGGTATCAATTGCAGCAGGGTCCGAAACCCCTTGCACGTCGGTTGCAAACCTATGGTCCTTAACTACTTGCGGTTCGAAAATGAGTGTCGTCACTTCGTTCTGTGTTGGCAAAAAAAAAAAGTTGGACCCATTTGTGGAATCGGACTGCGACCGAACGTGAGCACACGAGTCGTTTTAACCATCTACTGCATGAATCGTGAACATGTGACAGAGAATGTCTTGTCGATCGTCCTTTAGTTTCAATTGATTTATATTTCGCTATGGAATTTTTTTTTTTTTTGGGGGGGGGGGGTGATCTGCGAGATAGAGGTTTCGTGCCATTTGGCATCGTTGGGCAAAATACAAGCACTCAAAATAGTCGTTCTCCGTGTTCTCAACAATTTGCTTTCATGCCAATTGGCATCATTATGCAATAGGGGGTCAACATAACAGACTTGGATATCGTGATGGAGAAAATTGCCATCGAACGCATCAGACCGGAATCGACTCGGATCCGATTGCTTGGCGAGGCGACGCCAGGCCCACGAAGTCGGCCCTCGAGGACCTTAGGACTCGAGGATCTTCGCGAGAGAGAAAGAGACGCAGTCTCGACTTGGGAAAGAGTCCAAATTCCGGGGGGGGAGAAAGGGGGGAGGGGGGGAGGGGGCATGCTCGAGATACCAGGTCGGGCGTTCGCACGGGAGGATTCTGCGCTTTGGAGTGACGAGGCTCGGTCGTGTGCCCTGAGATGCCGGTCGGTTCCATCGCCTGCAGCAGTTTCGTCACGTCGATGTGACCTTGCCCTTTCGTTCTCTGCCCTTTTGTGGGGATCGCGGATCCGGCACGGGGGGAAACGATGGTCGACGTGGGGATTGCCGGAGTCCAGAGCCGGCAAGTTCCCGGTCGAGAGGGATCCGGCGGATCGCGCAGGCCTTGCGAGGCCCGAGGGACCACCAGGTCCCTTCGGGAACTCGCAAGTACCCTTGTGAGTACCTGAAAGCGGGACCCAGCCGGTGCGACGCCCTTCTCGTCTGAGGCGACGAATTCTCGTCTCGCTCCGGGATCTTCGTCTTCCCCTACTTCCGTCCACCGACTTCGAGGGGGATCGGATTCCGGGGATTCACCTCGATCGGATTCGAGCCGGTTTGGAGTCGCATCCGCTTAACGGAAGGAAAAGGGGCGTCGGCCGCTCTCGGACGCCCATCTCCCCGAGATCCAATGCCTCTAAGTCGGGAATATCGGGAGGAACCCGAATCCCTCCGATGCCCTCCGCTTCCGAGGCGTTACCGATCGATGCAGCAGCGAGGACGAGGGGGAAGCTGCCGGTTCTCCCCCGTAAGGGTCCAGAGTTTCACGGCGTCTCGTCACGGTCATCGAGCACGGTCGAGGAAGTGCAGAAGCTTGCCGTGTGAACTCCCGCCTCTACGTTGCGTTATAGCGACGGTTCCGCTACCGGCAGGAGCGTTTGGACCTCTGAGCGCCCTCGTGGGAAGAGTCGGTCGACCCAGATATGCCAGGCGCACTCGATGCACGACGACGTGCAGAGATGCGAGTGGAAGATTCTCCCCCGTAGTTCATTTTCGATCAACAGATGGCACTAGTGGCACCCAACACCCAAGCGGTCCTTCGGTCTACGGCTAGCAACCGATCGAGCCGCGTCCATTCGAACAACCGACCGAGACGTGTCAAAGTTCATCGTCTTCACGCCGTCCTACGCACAAAACGAGAGGCACATCTGAGTTAAAATCCCTCCAGGCAGAGTCGTATCGGTCGGAGTGGAAGCGAGAGTCCACGCCCGAGACGCAACGCGAAACGCTCGGAAGCGATCGCCAAGCCTGGCTCGAGGACGCCAGAGGGCACAAGAGTCTTCCCGAGGGGGGAAACGGAGGCGAGTGGGGCGGGCTCGCTTCACTCGCTGCGAGGAGGCCGAGGAGGCAGGTGCTTCGGGGGACTGGCGAGGGCGACTTCGAATCGGAGGGGAACAAAATCTGGACTCGATGCACTAATTTATTTTAAATCACGTGAGATTTCGGTACGTTTTTATGACTTTTTGTATGACGGTGACTAGCTGTATTTAGTTCGTTTGGGTTTTTTAATATCGAGATTGTGAATACAAATATACTTTTTCTTAATAAAAAAAAACGTGAGGGAGAGTGTTAGGCAAATGGAAAGTTTTCAGCCTGAGCATTTGGCAACACTGGTTGCAACTTCGCAACGTGATACCTGCAATCAAAATTTAGGCACTTAAAGAATTAAAAAATTGCAATCGTGCCCTTCATTACATGGTTCCGATAATTCATCTATTGGAATTATTCGAAAACAGCCATTTGATTCCCATACCGGTTTTCAGGGAAGCAGAGTTTCGTGCAGACGATGCATTACGAAAATCGATTCCACGTGCCTCCCATTAAACAATCCCTTGAAGCAATCCCATTAAGCAATCCCATTAGGCAAGTCCGCAGGGCCCATGCCCTCTCGACAAAAGTTGAGTCGCTTTTCAGGCTCCAAGATAGGACTTCTATCATTCGCATCGATCCTCATTCTGACTTCTCATTCCGAGTGTTGACTTCTCATTCCGGATGTTGACTTCTCGTCGTGTTCGAATTTGCAAGGCGAACCCGAGGGAGGAGGACTTCCGCACTGCAAAAGAGATCGGCAACGTCGACAGAGATGGAAGACGAAACGATTTCAATACATTGGAAGATGGGCTCACAGGAAGGCTTTCTCCAAGATATCCGACCGATTTTTCAGGCACGAAAGGAGGATTTCGGGGGTAATCGGATGAAGGTGCAGCGAGCACCATCGAGTCAGATGCAAAAAAAAAAAAACTTTTTAGAGGAATTTTAAGAAAAAAAAAGTAGGGATTTCGTGCATGTCGCTGGCTTTTCCCACCTTCCATCTCAATGATGATCAGAAACCAAATCCGACCGAGGAAAACTGGTCATTTACCGACATTAATGAGAATATAATAACGATAATGAATCCTCATTTAAGTAAATGCCCGAGTGGAACGGAATTGCAGGTCAAAGGCGAAACCCGAAGGACGAACCGCTCGTTCGGAGCTCGTGAAACGCGGCTTCCGCCATCCCGTACGCGGGGGATGCTCGCGGGCGAAATCGGCGAAAAGCCGAAAAAGGCTTCAAGGACACGCCTTGAAGGACACCCCTTGAAGGTCCCATGCGTTCCTTCCTCCCCAGAGTGAGCCGAACCAGATGCTCCCAAGGCAGCTTTGCAGCCTGGGTGAGGACGAGAGGATTAGGGATTAGTAGAAAATCCAGTCATAAACAAATCTCACTTTAAGGAGACTTACAATCGAGGCGTGTGTGTGTGTGGGGGGGGGGGGGGGAATTTTTTGCAGACAACATTGAGCCAAAGCAAGAGCGTTCTTTAGTCGAAGGTTGAAGGCTGGAGTGAGGGTTCAACCTGTTCAACCAAGAATGTCGACAATAAAGCGAATAGAATCACAAGAGCGGAATGATTATCTTTGTGCCAAGCACATAAGTGTTATAGAATGAGAGAAATAAGACGGTAGGCTGGCGGAAAAGCAGTCGGTGAAGCACCGGCACTGTTCCCGCCCCGCCCCTCCCCGCCCCGAAATCATACGGTAGAGTCTGAGAAATTTAAATTTAAAGAGCAGCATGACCCAATTAAATTTTATTGAGTCGTGCCGCGTGGAATACTTTTTCTACCTCATTTACATCGGCCTGCGTGTCGCGAGAGCGGAGTATGATACAATAAGTGAAAGCCGATCGATTCGGAGAATTCCCTGTATTTAGCCGATTCAGACGAGTCGGACTCTAATTTGATCAGGCGAAGAGAGGCCGGTCGAGCTCGAACGAGGTGGAGGAAGGAAAGGAACTTCCGACCGTTTCCTTCGTCAGCCGATCCACGGATCGACAGGCCACGATCGAGAGCTGGGAAGAAACTCCCACGATGATCGGGGGAAAGGCCCGATCTGCATGGCTAAGAGATCTCGAAGAAGGTGGGACGAGGGGGACCATCTACTGAATGTCGAGAGGTCATAGAAGAGAAGAGAGGAGGTCAACATTGTCTGGACGAGTGTGTGTCCAGTGTTCCCCGAGAGGGCAGAAGGAAGACTGACGAGTGCGTGTGCGTGTGTATGTGTGTGCGAGTGCGTCCAGTATTCCGTTCGAGGGCAGAAGGAAGACGGTTGGGGACGGGAGCCCACTTATGCCTTCTCGGGAGGTCCGAGGCGGCTTGGAAGAGGGAAGGCACGGCCGACATGCCGAGCAACGTGCGGGCATGCTCGTAAAGATGGTTTCACGACGCGACCGGTTACGATTGGGAAAACCGGCGAGGACGTAAAGCTAATGGGGAAGGCTGGTTCTTCACACGAGGAAGGTGGATCACCCGAGCCGACCGACGATCGGGGCTACGAGGTTCGCACGTAATTAAGGGTCTCGTCGAAACCTTAACGACCCCGATGCAAAATTCCGCTTCCCGATGAGCCCCGAGGCAGAAGGAAGCTCGAACGAGCACGAGGTGGCGAGCACGTACGAGCTTTGCGGTGGCCGTGACATGCCACTTAATTTTGAATCCGAGATCGTGATGCAGATGGTTCCGGCAGTGAAGAAAATCTGCAGACTAACGTGGATGATGAGGAAATGGTGAAGGGAGGAACGCATAGAGAAAGGTAGAGATGCAAAGAAGACTGGAAACGCAAGAACACGCAGAGGAACGAGGAAGAAGTTCCTCTGTGTCCCATACACCCCCATACATAACCATACCCCCCTCCCCCGCTTCTAAGAGATGGCTTCCAATGGATTTTACTGGAATGAGACGAGGCTATTCGTGGATTACTGCGTCACGTTCCCGGTTTTAGTTGTAAATGGGTTGGAGTCAGAAGGTTATGAGGTTACCTGATTCGAGGGCGAGCGGGTGCATGGAGATGGAGACGTGAGGAGGGTCCACCGAATCCACAGGATCCACGCCACCGAGGTCCTCGAGTCCGAGTGCGTCTCGCCGTCTGGAGCGCCACCACCCTCTGACTGCATTCTACAACTGACAAAGTCGAGCAGAGATGGGGTTGGTTTACCGTCGTGGCTTCACTTTCCCACTCCGACGCCGATCGTGCGGAAGTGCCATAAACAGGTGTGGGAGTGTCCGAAAAAGGGTCGAAGTCGAAGGGGGGGAAAGCCATAAATGGGCTTTTAGGCATGGAGGGCACGCTCCGCACCCGAAGGGCAGAAGGGGAAAGAATCGCGAATGGATCATCGACGAGACTCGAAGGTGACTCGTTCCCCGGGGCAGAGAAGAAGCGGAACGCCTCCCGAGGAAACCGATTCGCTCCGGACCGACGATACGACATCGAGGAAGTCACGCCGTTCGATCCGTGCAACGGGATGTCGTCTGTGCGATGGGATGTCGTCCGTGCGAGGCTCGGGCGTCGCACCCCGTTTCGTGGAGATACGCGTATCCGGGAAATGAGATGTTAACCGAAGGGGCCGGTTACCTTGACACTCCCAGGAAGAAAAAGCCGACGCGGTTTCTCGAGATGCGGATTTGCCGTGTTCGGGGTCGAGACAGCCGTTACGAATGCGCGAAGATTTTCTATCACGGGCATAACAAATTGATGTAAATTGAAACCACACGCTTGGGTGCGAACCACTGAATGTTTCATCGCTTCATTCCGGCCTCGTGGGAAGCGATAGTGCCGGTCGAACACGCGTCGCAACACATTCCATCATGTGATCGATTGCCCAAATAGGGAAATGCTAAGGACGTATGACTTCACCGTGAGATTCAACGAAACTAACACGGATGTCACGATCACCGCCCGTCTCTCGTGCTAAGAAAGTTAGCAGAGACGAGTTCGTGTCAACTGATTAGTGATATTCATATATTCAAAGAACAATATTGTTCTTTCTCCTCGTGTTTATCTTCATTTTCCATACTTGCCGAGCAAAAGGCAACTTCTCTAACTAACCTCATACGACGGACTGTTTCCTCATCGACTCGACCTGAAGAAGCATTAAAAATCGATCACGAAAGAACCGCATCTTCTAGGATTCAGGTGCTACGAACGAAACTTGTCCGTCGTCTTCGGGACAAAGATCGCAGCTAACATTTGGCACTTTCCTCTTCAAAAGTGAGTGGCGTATCTTAGGGGGGGGGGGGGAAGTCCTTGAGAATGCCCATCACCCCATATGGGGGATTTTCTTTCCCCGCCCCTGAGAAACTTCTTTCACCTGCCTTCCACCTGCCTCCCACCGTCCTTCGCAGCTCTTTTCTGTTACTCTGTCCCCTTTGGCTCATGAGTAAAAAATAGGCCACTGCCTTCATGGGTTTGATATTCTAGTTCAACGTAGTATCATGTGTGCTGCAATGCCAACGATCACCGAAGATTTAAGCAATGAATAATTGCAGTAATAAGGTCTATATAGTTAGTTTATTTGATTTAGCATGATGACGAATGACATTGATAGACACGATGAGGAATTTCATCCGGGATACGAAGACGATGACAGAGAAAGAGAGAGATTCTCCTCTCCATGGGAGAGTGGACAAGAGAGATGGGTACTTGTCACCAGAATCCCCGACATCTCTGTCTCTTGACTAGCGCGTTGATTGTGGGGATCAGACGAGATCTCCTCGGCTGTGCTTCCTTTCCCTCTTGAAAAGGCCACCTAGGAAGGAATTCTGATGATGAAGAGCCTGCTTCTTGTTCCCAGGGGGGGACGAAGAATCTCCGCTCCCAGTGCTGTTATTGGTCGTACTTCCTGTACTGTTGTTGGTACTGGTAGACTGGAAAGACACTGACATCCCACTATCTAGGGACCCAAAACTCCCCCTCCGCTGAAGACCCCGTTCTGTACCTGAAAGAACACCATTTTATATTCCATAAATCATAGGCATAAGACTTAATCGTCAGAAATGCCCTGCACATAAATTATGACAGAACTCAGCCCCAAGGAGTTGGACTCAGTTTCGAGGAGCTCATTTAGCATATTAAGCATTATTGGGCTCCTTTGGAATAAACTCTTGATTCACTGGGCAAGTTTTTGTAATTAAAGCAAATCTCAATGGACTGGGTTAAAGGGTGCACATACTGGAGGCATCGTGGATGTCGAGAAGAGAATTGCTGAGGGTGCAGCGCTTCAAATCCTTCTTCCTCTCATCGTTCCCATTCGTCGGATGAGCAAGTTCCACGTCGGCCTCGACTCCGCTGTCTCGATTGTGACCAGATGAAGAGTTGGTCGATGACGAGGACGAGGTCGTTGCTGCCACAACCCTCTGCTTCTCGAGTTCCTCTTGAATTCGGATGGACTCCATCTCATCCATCTCATGAATGCTCTCTCGAAGGTCTTCGAGGAATCGCGAACGATCGTGCTCGTTGCGAGCATTTAGTGTGATTAGCACCTTCCCATCCACCTTCTGACTCAGGATCAGCCCATAACGGTAATCTGAAAACAAACATCAACAACATGTCATATACTCACTGCACTTGGCAATCCACTACTCACTAACTTCCTAAGACAGAAGCTATAGTATAAAAACATAAGGGATCAAAATTCGACAAGGACCAAGTGCAACCATGTCTGAGTGTGAAGTAAAGGCAAAGCTAACTGCTCTTCAACCATTGAAAACCCCCCACTATTAACTCTTTTAGGGTCGGAATCGATTAGATTGACCCTATGAACTTCGTTTAAGAATGCCAAAGTCGAAGAACTTAAAGAAAATACATTTCTTAATCCTTTTATATCCAGTTCTTCGAATCTGGCACTTTTAAACGAAATTCGTAGCGATCGACGGGGTTAATCTCACTTTTGAATTGAGCATACTTCAAGTGGTAGCACTCTGTTTCATGATCTTGACAGTAACATATCAAGATGAATGGAGAGGAGGAGCTTACATTGGGTGGAGAATAGGGAGACAGAGAGGCCAGAGAGGGTGAAGCTCTGACGAAAAGAGTACGTGGCAGAATTCTTCTTCTTCTGAAAGATCTTGGTGATGCAAAGGAGGTCATTGAAAAGGAACACTTCACGCTGATGTTGTCCGATTCTGTCCCGTTTATGCACGTCCCCCACTTCATACAGGCGGCAGTAGCACACCAGCCGACGGTGCGGCAACGCCAAATTCTGCGCGATTCCATTACCATCTCATAATTATGAAGAAAAAGAGGGCAGGAAAGATAAAAGGACACTGAACTCACAGGTCTCTTGCCGACGATGGCTTGCTGGACCTTGAGGACTTGGCTCACATGGTCCGATGCAGGCTTGAATTCTCCTCCTTTGATCCTCTCATAGATTCCTTTCAACATGTTTGGATCTATGTCTTCACCGTCATCTATGCCTAAATGGGGAAAAAAAATTAAAGCTTATTCCTATCTTGCAAAAGATTCTTTCCTCAATCATCTGTTCACTCACCTCGTAGATTCCTAATGAAATCCTCCAACTTCATCTTCTTCTGAGGCATTATATTAGGAGAGTGGAGGTCCGTGTTGAGCATGATGATGGCAAATGCCAACACGAACACTGTGTCTGGGCTTCGAAGCCTTCCACCAATGTAATCAGGATTGCACTGAGTGAAACGCTGGGCAAAGACTTCCATTAGTCGTTCAATCTTCTGCGCCTCCCCTGGGAGGCGGAAGAAGGTCTGGAATTTCCGCAAGGCCACATCAACTTCCAATCCAACCATGTCAACTTCATCACCAAAGCAACTGGAAGACAGAAAAGTCATAGGATGCATGACATCCATGGAAAAAAAGTCCTTCATCCAGTGATTTAAAAATATCTCTGGCTGGATCTCCTCCAAGACATTTCCATATTATGACAACAACCCCATGATCATACTCATATCACGCATCCACACTATGATAACGGATAATAATAAGATGTTTGATGATTCTGTCAATCACAAGAGGCCCTAGCAGATGACTGAGACTATCATTAACATAAGGCAATGCGGGAATCTACTGTGAGGCAAATTATTTCAGGCTAGCCTGCCCAGACAGCACAGGTGTTCTGTAATCATTACCGATTCAATTCGTGAAAAATGGTAATGGCAACTAAAACTGACTGCCATTCATTGCCATTGATATCATTCAATTATAAAACCATGGAGAGCTCTTTCCCATAAACTATCATAACCTGATAGTAGCGATAATCATCATAAAAGCATTAAAGGAGAGTATGCATTCCCACATCATGGAAATGACAGTACCATTTCCAGCCCACATGGTCTATTCTCCTAGCCTCTTCCATATGTGCCTTACTGGGTAACCTCACATGACCTCATTTCTGTTTAAGCTGAAGATTCGGCTTGAAAGGGGCTTGATCAGATCCTCTAATGGAAGCTAAATCCAAACCCAAGCAGCAAATAACTAATAGTTTGAAAGGAAACCTGCAGGAAACAGATACACAACCCAAATGCAATTTGACTAATAGGCCTATATCTCTCTTATTTTTCAAAGCAGGATAGACGATTATCGCGGATTAGTGTTAACAGAATGAAAAATAAATCCTCAAACTTGAAACTCACTCTAGGACTGCAGCATTGAAGGGATTCTGGAGATTGCCAAGGAATTCTCCTATCATCTGTCGACTGAGTCCCTTGCGTGTGAGAAGAAACTGCGACACGGCACGAGGAGATCCGTGCAGAAAGCCTCTTTGGATCAGGTATGTAATCCCTTTCTCGGGCTTCTTGTTGAACAGGTTCAAACCCACACGATACTGCCTCTTCCTCAACGTCTCTGAGATCTGCATAACAGCTTATTCATGTTAAAAAGCCAAAAAAATTCCCCTGAATAGAGTCAAGGAAAGTATCTCACCTTGCTCAGTTGATGGGTGGGGTGACAGTGGACTGCGCAATTTATCACTGTGCTCCCTTCCGGCTGTGGAAGACAACCAGACATAATTATAATTTCAGAATTCTTCCATGAAATCGCTATGGTTCTCGAAAAATGCGGCCAAGAAGCACTTAAAAGTTCAATTAGGTCCCTAATGATTATATAATTGCCGTGATTCAGGAAGTTAGGAATTGCAGCTCTTAATTCTGCCCCTTTTCTCATGTTTACATGTCATTTCCGTTGAATTTCATCTCCATACTCTCTGGCAATGGCGATTCTCGGAATACGATCAATGAAAAATGCGATGAGAATCATATGAAAATGCAGACGGATCCGCAAAATGACGCAAAAATGGAATGCATGCCTGCAGTGATGGGCTGGAGGTAGGTGAGGTACAAAAACAGAGAAAGGAACACATGGTCACCAAGTGTTCTCAACACTTCATACACATTCCTTGAGGCCATCAGTCCTTATCTCCATTTTACACATGGTTTCAAAGTTCAAGCCACATGAACTCCACTCCCCTCCCCTCCTTGGGGGATGACTTTAAAAGAATGTCTTCAAACCTGCCTTCCTTCCCATATTGATGGCCATGTCGGAAGCAGAAGTACCAGAAAAGAGGATTAGGAGATTCTTTTATTTAACTGACAGGTATTACCAGCCTTATAGATTTGGCCCCACCTAAATTCAGTCAGGTTGAAGCTACTTTACATGCTGATGCGGTAGGTGAAGGCTAAAGGCACCGCCTCTGAAATGAACACTTCCAATTCACAAGGTCCAACTCACTTTTTTCCAGACTGATGTCCCATTCGATTTCCATACTGGTGCCCCATTCGGTGCCGGAACGATCACATGATGATGATGATGGTGATGATGCGGATGATGAGGACAGAGATTAGAAGAAGCAGGAGGAGAAGCTTGATCACAGTTCACATTCCTTTGGATCAACACCTGACTAGGAGGGTAACGAGTCAGAGGAAGTGCTGCTCGTTGATCCGACAAAGAAGACGTCCTTCTGGGCACGTCGGGTGGAGACCTCCGAGTCCCATCTGCATTCACGCTCACCGTCACTGTGGTAGTGTTCGCAACCGGACTGAAGCTGCTGTTGGTATCCCCTGACCTCAGGTAGCACTGGCTATCCCCGCTCTCATCTTTCGAATGGTCTTCACTCCAGTAACTCCGGTTGCAGGGATCTTCGTCCATCACAGGCATAGAGTTGTGGTTCTCCACAGGCACAGTGAGATGGAAGCTGGGATTAGATCCCGGTCCAAGCAAATGAGACCCAGGGCCAGGTTCTCTCATGGATACTGATCGAGGGATGCCTCGTCTCTCCATGGTGCATTCCTTGTCCTTGTCTCTGTCCTTGTCCAGCCACCAGGACTGTCGACTGAGACGTTTCTCGGCCTTCAGCTGCTGGGTGATGGCTGTAAACCTTTTGAGCATCATGTAGCGGCGGAATGCCCTCTGGATGGTGAGGGCAGCCACCCTGGCTCTTTGTCCTCCTCCATACTTCCTCTCCAAGAATTCCACCTGCTTGTCCAGAAGGTCTTGAGACAACTCGTATCTGCGAGTAGAGATGACTCATAGAATGAAATGCTTGTTCACGTGGTACCAAATAGCTTCCTTAGACTAGTCAGCATGACTCTCAGTCCTCAATCGACCTCAGAGGGCAAATTCAGGTAAGCATACTGATCTGTCAACTTGATTCCATGTCAGATATCTATAATAACTCTACACCATGCTTCATTCAATTACAGGCACATTGCGAAAGAAAGCGAAAGAATACATACGCTGCCTGCATTCGAGTCCTCCGGAGGATGTCATCGGAAGGGGGCTTCCGGTCCCGAAAGGATTCCATGTGCCTGAAGGAGCCTCGATCCCGGTAAATCCCACCATTCCCATGGTCTGCCACTCCATCCTTGGGATTCGGAATGGGGTTCGGTCGTTCTCCCTTCACCTTCGCATTCTCCCTCGATTCCAACGCCTTCCCTCCTTGAACAGTGCCACTGCAAAACAGAAACTCGAAATTGAAACAATCGAAATCGCTTAATAGGAATAACAATCCACGTCAGTGGAGCGCGGAACATCCTCCCACCCCACCCCCAGGTATTGAACCCCTATAAGAAAGCCCAATCCCCAATACTTGACCTCCGCACTCTGAAATACCTGACTTGCCTGGCAAGGAGTCCTGGGATACAGAACAACATGCTGGTTCAAGAGAGGCTGCAAACTGTTGAGCGGGAAATTGAAAGGCACTCGACAGACAGGGCAGGTGCCCCAATGACGACTGAAGAAGCAGATGCGAACGCGTGTTGAAAAGATAAGGGAGGCAGAGGCCTTCTTGGGCATGTGGTCGCGTGGCCGGCAGCAGGTGATGCTCTCACCCTTGTTAATCATCAACCAGCCAGCAGCTGCTGTTTACCAAGTAAGGGAGACATCTGGCCACGGGTCATGTTCAGCCGATAAACTCCGGTTGAGGAATTCTTTCGCAAACAAAAAAGGCACCTGACAGGCTGGACGTGCTTTTATATGCCCTCAGGTCATTCGTTCCGTCCCTTCCAGAACAACTCTTTCTACTTGCCTTTTGAGGTGAACCCGTCAGCCTCATTATTTGTGTACAGGATTCTAACAGGTTAAAAGAGCACTAACCTATGTTGGTTTTTTCCAACGTGGAAGTCAGATAAACTCGACGTGAGAAAGGAGAATGCCTTGCATTGTGTTCTCGCCGAAAAAATAAGCCGAGGAAAAGAGACTGTGGAAGCTCATCAAGAGTTAATACGAAGGAAAAACATGAGAGGGGGAGGGACACCAGAGAGCCGTGGAGGAGAACCCAGACAAATTGGGCTTGTTTATAGAACGGGTCTGTCTCTTTGAGCCCCAGCCCCTTGGCACTGGCTAAAGAGTGAAGCCTGCAATGACAGTTCCATTTTACTCCCCGAAAAATGGGGTAAAGAGGAGATAAAGGAGAGGTAAACAGAGGCGCCAGGGAAATCAGTCATCTATCTTGGCGGATATTCCCCACGGGAGGGGAGAAGAAAAAAAGACAACACAAGACTCCACTCTTTTGTCTCTCGGTTCGTGTTACCTGGCAGGGCCGCTAGGAATTTTCCGATGATGATAATCCATCGGACCCCCAAAGAAGCACGGTATGCACCATATGAGCGCGAGAGCGAGACTCCCAACCTAAGCCATAGGAACTGTTCAACCCCTTCCTCCTCATGCTCGAGTCTCTGCCTTGTGCCAAGAATATCATTGGCGTATAACTCGGGAGCGTTTTCGCTTGGCACTTGTTTCTTCCTTCATTTGGACATCACATCGCATCCCATTGTCAACGACGCACCCTTCACTTCCACTAGAGCCAACATTACGTCAACGTGCCAAACTCCGCCAAGGCAAGTACGTCACCGATCGCTAAGAATGGCCACTGAAGCATTCCTACCGGAGTTAACTTCCACACTACATTTTTTCTCATGTGCGAGCTTGCCTAAAAATAGGTTCAGAACTCTCATTGACAACGGCCCCTTGAGGCACGCACAGATAATGAAGGAACTGCACGCTTGAACATCTGTAACCCTATCTCGCACGAGGACATCCTCACGTACGATCGTGTTGTTGACAGAAGGCGTGAATCAGAAATTCCAGGTTCACGGCACTTTCTCTTCCTCCATCACCTTTTTGTACGTGCAGGACTTGCATAACGGAAAAGCTTTTTCTATCTCGGGGGGATTTTTAGTGTGATTATATGGGCTGATCCCGACCTTTGGGCCTGAGCTTCTCTGAAGGCATTCATCAAGGAGTGTCTTTCGGTCTTCCCTCTCACACTCCATGCCCTTCGGGCCAGGAGATTGATTCCCTCTTCCTTCCTGCCTTTCATCTGGGGCAGGTGTTCCAACTCCCCTCCCCTTGAATAGCGGCAGAGACAAGGAGTTTCTTCCCACCCCCGACTTTTAAAAATGGCCGGGCCTGAGCAGTAAAAGGATGAGATTGAGGTGACCAAACCGCACACAAAAAATTCAGGGCTATCTAAAAGGTTTCCCTTGCCCTCTTTTTTTTCTGGGCACACTTACATGATTTTTTTCAGCGCGAAGAAACAGTATAGACCCTGTTTCTCCATGCAGAAAAAATTAATAGTATGAGATGCTTTTTCGTGTTTTGGAAGTAATTCTATGGGAGGGGTTAAGAGCTACGATTTTCGTCAAGACAAGATGAACAGCAGCCGACCGGAATAACTAACATTCAAAATACAAAAGAATTGGAGGGTAAAAAAAAGACTGGATTCCAGACGAATTCACGAAACGTGGGAAAAACCGCCTGCCAGAGGAACCTGCAGGATTTTAATTAAATTAGCTCACAGTATATGCTCAATTGAGGAATACGCTCAACTTAGTGGAGATAAGGCCCGAATGCTGAAACCTCATTAAGGCGAGATAAAGGGGCTAAATAGCTCTTTTTCCTCTATAGGAGTCCATGGATTCTTAAAGAATCGTTAACTAATGGTTTCAGCATTCAGGGCTCACTTTTTTTTAATGGCAGTATATGATAGGAACTGATGAAGGCATTGACCCTTTTCTTCTTAACGGCCGGGAATGATCGTTTCCCTCTGTGAAATATAGATTTTTGGCCATCTTGGCATTCACTCAGACCAATAGAAAAGGTCGGATTATGAAGGTTCCTTTTTCTTGTATGGATGACCTTCGATCGATCTCTACTGGACTTGAATTATGGAAAGAACCGCTTGTTAACTTGATCGCAACGATTTGGACCTAGGCTAGGAGCCGTTAAGCGACGCCAGCCGTAATGAGATACGACTCAAAGACTGGTTTTACTTCACGTCAAACACCCCCCATGTCGATACGGCTGAGAGAGGCCTGGGTCTGGACTACACAGATATACGTTTGCCTTCGTCGTCTTCGACGACCTTGAAAAAATCACCATCTCCAACGGAAATCGGAAGGAACATTCCAACCAAGCCATAGTGAAAAAAAAAAGATAGAAAAACCCTCAAACCTTTTCCTCTCCGGATGAGTGAATAATGTGGAAGAAGCGCCTGTGTCTAGGCCCAATCCACACAGAAACGTTTTCAAAGGACTACGTTTCTTCCTCCCGCTCCATCGGATTCGTTGCGTGTCGAAAAAGTGAGTTGGGGAATACTTGGACATAGTAGAGCTTTTTGCGTCACAAGCACAGCGAGAGAGGAGAAATATCCACGCCTCGGTCCACGTCTCACGACGCTATCGACGGAGATCCACCACGGGTGAGGGAACCGGATGTAAATCGGCGGAACGGATTCCCTTCCTATCACACTCCATCATCACTCACTTTGATAAGGAACAGAGTCCTCTGGCGCGTTTATATGAAAGCTTCTGTGCCTTTCCACGCAACAAGGAATATATCGGCGTCTCACTGGCCTGCGAAGCCGGTTCGGCACCGTGTGAATGACTGGTTCATCTCAGACCCAGCTGTCCTCTTCGCTTCCCTCCTCTCCTAGCAGGGATGCCCGATCCTGCCCCCTCGTCCGCAATTATTGTCGTTCCCCCCTCTGTGCTCAAGCCATTCCCTCATAATCCTCATATGCAAACGGATGCATGCCATGTCGGGTTCAGCAATGCTTAGGCAATCGTGTTATTATCCTGACGTTGGTGCTTGAAAATGCTGCATCAAAAGCGGTTACACTCTGCTGGTCTCATTCTCATTGAATATTCCCGCTGGAGAAACAAAGGGATTCGTCATTTCCTGCTAAACAGTTCTTCCATGATGTGCTCGAATCGATTGAATCCTCTCTGCGATGATGTCATCATGGACCATTATGCGGGGCCCACGTGCCGGCGTGAGGACGCGGTATCCGACATCCGTGTTTTCCAACCGCTAGGCTGAATCCCAGCAGACGGCCGGTCGCGTCTCGTGTTTCCGCATATAAATCCCTTTCGTCGGCCTGAGGCCCCCTGCGAAGGGATGAGGATGAAGGAGGGTGCACGATCCCCGGCTTCCCTCCCCCCTCTTGTTCGGAGAAGAGGAATATAGGAATACGGTCAGGGTGGAGGGCGAGTATTGTTGTCAGCTGCTGTTCATCGATCGATGACTATTATTGACTTTCCTGTTCCCCTCTCAAAATGCATTCAACAAATGCATCGGCTCATAGCAGGAAATTTCCCTCCGACTCTCCTAACTCTTCGACATGCATGAGACAAGGACAAAGCCTCGCTTTCTCGAAATATGAATATCTGACGGGACGAATACGGGCAGCAGAGAATTGCGTAAGATTGCAAAGGACGTCGGGATTACATTTTAAAATATGAACGTGCTGAGACTCTAAAAGGAGGAACATATGTCCTACTGCATCACCAGAGACTTGACGAGATGACAGGGATATCTCATGTCTGCAATTATGTAAGGCCACCAGCGTGGCAGATGAAAAAAAAGGAGAGGAACACAAGACGAAAAGGAAGGGAGAAATGGTGACCTTTCTCCTCAAGTGCCTTTTAAAGAGCCATTCAATGTCCCGCTGGGGTGACGAATGGCCTACCCACAGGGAAGGTCTATTTAGACGCGTACGGTGCCAGCGACATCTTCCCCATTTAAAGGGAACCTTTGGTTCCCGCATTATATCATAGATGGAACACTAAAGTTTTCTCTAGTCCTCCCACTGCCAGCTTCCTTGATACCTCGCTCTTAACCTTCAACATCGTCTCCATGGCTTTGTCCTTGTCCATGTTTCATCTATTACGACTCCTCAGGCTCCTTCGAAGGAGGAAGGACTCCTTCCCCTCTGGGCTCCTACGAAGCAGGTCTTACCTACTAATGCGAGTTGGCCATGACAAACTGTCCCTACCGTCAGAGAATAGCTTTTCACCTCATTTTCATTCATTCCTATGCTTAGCAACGTTCGGGAAAGATCCGAGCGGTCACGCAGGAGCGGATGATGGCATAGCGCATGACTCATGCAACCTGTGTTGCTAAGGGTCAATAAAACCTGATCCTACTCCTACCACTTGAGCCTCCTCGGCCTGAAAAGGAATCATGTGGAGTAATCACACAGCACAGGGGTCGCTGAATCCCACGGGCCCTATGCACTCTCATCAATTCACAAGGTGTTCGTACGTATTCGAATCGACTTCATGCATCTCAACAAACTTTCTATTACAAACTCCAAGAAATCAATATTTCAAAGAAAGCACTAAGAAGAAGTACTAAGTCTTTCCATAAATGTACAAAATCAATCTGGGAGGCTACTTTTTCCATAATTTTTACTCTTCAGACGAAAACGAAACGTTCAAACTGCAGCTAGCATGTAAAAAAAGAAACAATCCCAATCAACAAGCTAGACTGGATCTGCTAGAACGCACTCCACGAATGTAATTTTGTGAGGATTTTAACAATTATTCTCGCCTCTTCTTTCAGCACGATATTAAAATGCGCGTAACGTCTATTACGAGTGAATCACTATGCTAGTGAT